TTTTTTTTTAAAAAAAAAATAAAAAAAAAAAAAAAAAAAAAAAAAAAAAAAAAAACAAAAAAAAAAAAGAAAAACAAAACCAAACCAAACAAACAACAATAATCACAAAGCAGCGCGTTCGCATCGCCCAAAGCAACAGCAACAACAAAAGTGGGAAAAAAAATTTGTGTGAATTGTTTTTTGCGCGCCGCGTCGTCGTCATCCTTTAGAGCCATAAAAAACCGCCGCCATTTGTGTTTGCCGATGCGAGTTCATGTGTAGGCTACAACAACAACAGCAATAGTTAACAGCATAGCTGCAGCAACATTTGTGGCAGCTTATTGCAATAAAAGCAACAAAAGCAACAATAGCAACAACAGCAACAACAGCAATAACAACAACAACAAACATCAACAAACATCAACAAAACAACAATAGAAGCAGCAGCAGCAGCAACAAAGGCACAACATCGATTGAGATCGATTAACGGTAAGTTTGGCATATTCAAATAGATATATATACCTATCTATGGCGGAGTTGGGCCAGGGATTGAAATTAGATTCGCCGCAAGAAGTCGCAGCTAATTGCTAGCTATGATTATGTCACTAATGAGCCAAGCAATTGAAAAAGCTAAGACACTTGGCAAACACTTGCTGCCACACACACGCACACGCACACACACAGAGAGAGACACGCACACAGCGAAGCATACAACATTTTGCTTTTCCTTTTCGTCATTTTGTTGGCCTACTGCACAACCTTTTGGTGGCTTTTGGAGGGCAAACTTGAGGCAACAAAAAAAAAAAACAACAACAACAAAATACGGGCCAATACATGCCCCAGTGAGCGTTAAGTTTCGTTAAGAAACATACCAAAATAATTGTATCTTCGAGATACAAGATTGTACAACAGCCAGAGAGTCGAACAGGATATGTGTGGCACTGAAAAGGCGCAGGCGCTCGCTCCGGCTCTGGCCACAGCTGCTAACCCACTCGCTCTCTCCTTTTCACACACACACACACACACACAGACATACTCTCTCTCGCTCTGTCTCTCTCTCTCTCTCTCTATTGCCCTCTGCTAGCCTTACTTTGTGCTTGTGTATATGTAAAATTCATTGACTAACAACATGCGAGCACTGCTCCATGTGTGTGTGTGTGTTTGAGAGAGAGTGTGATTATTTTTTGTTTTTTTTTTATTTAGTAATAAATGTATGTGTATGCTGGTTAGTTAATCAAATTTTGCATTGTTAAATCATATTGCGGCACACTTGATTAATCATTTCAATCAGCAAGTGCAGCAAATGCGATTTATATAGCATACTTTTCAGCGCTGTCAAGTGTATGCGTGTGTGTGTGTGTGTCTTTGGTAACTTAAGCTGTGACAATTGTTTGATTTGACTTCCAATTTCAAGCTGAGCCTACAATTTGCTTCATTCATCCACACACACACACACACACACACACATATGTTGGTGCTCTTGTGTGTGCGTGCGTGTTGCGTATATAAAAACACGTTGGAATATCGAACTGACCTACTTTGGTGTGCAATGCACACACACACACACACACACATTTGGATTTACTTAAACTACATATATGTATGTACATACATATATTTACACATATATGTATGTATATGCTTATGTATGTTTATATTGACACAAACACACACACACACACATACATATTGACAGTGGCCAAGAGTGCTTTGACCTTAGCGCTGCCTGCTTACATAAGTCCAAATCGAGTTCCAAATTTCTAGTCTATTCGAGTAATTGCAATAGTTAAGCTGAAATCCTGCAGAGAATGCAACTATTGTCCCGTAATTAATATTACTCTAGCAAAATGCTTGCAAACTAGCAATTTCAATTAATTCCCATATCAACTCAACTGAACGTAATACAACTCAGTCTAGATTCTAATGGATTTTCCCAGAATTTTCTCAAATTTCGTTATTTGCTGCATTCCATGTGCAAGCCAATATATATATGTATATAATATATATATGTAAATTCTCACTCAATTGCAAATTCCTAGAAATTGACATAATTATGGCATTGCGCTCTAGTGAAGTCTCTTTGAGTTCGCAATTCCAGTTACTCGTGAAACTTTATTCGCATTTGAATAGCGTTTATATTATTTTTCACATGCACAATGGCAGTGCTTAGTATTTATTCTACACAAAATTTATACATATTTAATTTATTTCCTATTGCTTTTAAGTAAATGTTGCAGAGTTGCGTAAATTTAATTATTTAATTTAGTTTTATTCGAAAGTTATTCGTATTATGAATAAAACTATAATCATTATTACTATTGAATTTACTTTTTAGTATTAAAGCAATAATAATTATTATTATTTGTAGTACTCTCATCATTTTTATAGTTTATAGTTTATTGATAATGATATTATTAATTATTAATTATTATTTGTAGTACTCTCATCATTTTCATTATTATTTATTTTATTAATTTACTTTATAGTTTATTGAAAATATTATTATTAATTATTAATTATTATTTGTAGTACTCTTATTATTTTTATTATTATAGATTATATACTTTATAGTTCATTTATAACATTAATTTTATTATAATAATTATTATTACTATTGTCCTAAATGTCAGAAATTGAGTTGAGGTGAATTTTATTTTAAACGATTTTATACGTAAACTTTTATATATGTATATTATAAAAATCATATTATATTAATTAATATTACAATAAATTATTTATATTAATTATATTACAATTTATAATAATTATTATTGTATCATATTATTATTATATTATTTATTATTATTATATTTTATAAATTATTATTATTTTATATTTTTATTATATTTTATAAAAATTATATTATATTAACTTATATTACAATTATCATTTTATATTACATATATAATAATTTACTAATTATTTTTATTTTTTAACATTATTAGTATTATTATTGTCAAAAATTTCTAGAATTGGATTTGGAAAAATTAGTCATTCTTATTTTTGTTGTATTAAATTTTTAGAAGCAAACTTTTATATATTAACTTTTAAAAAAATTGTTTGTTTTTTAATATATATTTTATATATATTTTTGTGTTTTTAAAAAATGATTACCATTTATTTATATATATATGTTATTTTTATATGTATATATATAATTTATTTAAATTTTATATATGTATATGATATATTTATTTTATTTAGTTGTTTTTTTTTTTATATAAATTTTTTATAATTCAGTTACATATTTTAAATATATTTTATATGCTTTTTTTTTAATTTTAAAATTTAATTACTGTCATTTTTTCCACAATTACTTGCAGCTTAAATTTACCTTTTAAATTTGTAAGGCACTTCTTATACTTAAGTTTGGTGTTTCACTTTGTTCAATTGCTCAGACCTTCAGTACTTATAGCACAGTTCACGTTTCTATAGCCATTTGCTGAAGGCAGCTCTTTGACACTCTACTTAAAAGCAATTTGTAAAATATTTGTGCACACCAATTGCTTAACACAACAAAAAGTTGGAAGGTAAATGCAATAAAAAAAAAAAAAAAAAGAGAAGAGTCACTTTCATAATTCAATTTGTTCTCGTTGAAAAAAGTTCCCAATTCAATTAAGTAAAACTCTATAAAATTCTCTATGCATATGCATATACATATACATATATTATGTAGGTATGTATATATATGTTTTAATAAAATCAAAAGTAAAAGTAAATTAGAAAACTCTCTCTCTCACTCTCTCTGCCTCTCTGTGGGTGTCTCTCCGCCCTTGAGGACTAACGGACACAACTAACAAGCACGCCAAATTTCTGCCAGTGTATTCTGTGCAGCTGACACTTTATTTATATCGATTGTAAGCTGTATCCATTCATTTTGTTTTTTATTTTGTTTTGTTTGCGTTTGATTGGAATGCACTTAATGCCTATCGTTAGCTGCGCTAATCCAATTAGTCATTCACGCAAACGGGTTCAATGTGCGCGACGTGTGCTGGTAGTGCGAGTGCATTGCTCTAGATTGCCCTACTCGATGTTTAATGAATTCATAAGGAATAAATTCGCTAATTTGCGCTATTAACTGTTCTCATTCATTCTTTTCAATTGCAGCATCGTGCTAAGCGGCGGGCGCTACTCGAACATGGCGCCTCGGATATAGTTGTAGCTTTAATGTAGCAGGCGACATCCATGTGCCTCATGTGAGTATTGCTAACGAGTTGAGATTGCTTTTCAAATTGAATACTAATCGAATTTGTGCGTAATTTTTTATCGTTGTTGTTGCAGGCCTTGGAAATCTGAGGCTCTCATCGTTGGCCGCATAGACAATGACAGAAGATTCCGACTCGATATCTGAGGAAGAACGCAGTTTGTTCCGTCCCTTTACCCGCGAATCATTGGTGCAAATTGAACAACGCATTGCCGCTGAACATGAAAAGCAAAAGGAGCTGGAAAGAAAGAGAGCCGAGGGAGAGGTGGTAATTATTTCTAGCTGAATGTTGTCTGCTAATGCATACACTTATGTATGTGCTGTGCTATTTTGTGTCTCTTCTATCTAATCTATCTATGCTATCGATAACTATGATTCTAATTCGAATTATATGACGTTAATCGATGTTCGATGTTCGACGTTCGATATTTATTGATATATTTATCAATTTTATTAACCGTGTTTCATTCATATCTAATAATCGATTTCATAATTTTTGATAGTCAATTTAAGTTATCGATTGATTATCTAGTAGCTTCGATCATATACGTTCGATATATATCGACTGTATGGTATATGATCTTCAAGTCATCGGCTGACAATTATCAACATAAAACTTTCGATACTTATCGATAATATATTTCCAATCAACATGATGTAGTTTTTCTTCGGCATTCATCGACTTACCAACTATCGATTGTTTAACTAACAAGTACAAATTCACAGCAATCGATATTCATCGATACTCGTCGATCGATTAACGTTAGACGCTAATGTGCGCTTTTGTTCGTGCTTAAACGTATATTGAATATGTATCTATCGTATATATATATAACTATCTAAACCGAATACTTGTACACCCATCTAACTGTACCCCAACTGTTGCTATTATTATTACTACTACAACTACTACTACTACTACTAAGTACTAATTTACTTGCTACTAACCTATATATGCTAACCCAATGCCAAGTAATACTCCAGTAAAGAAACCAGAAACAATTCGGCCATCAGCTAATTAACTATCAAACAGTATTTAAAGCTTCCCAAACAGTGGATTTTTTTCCGTACCCCTGAATATTTAATCGTACTGCCCGTATTTCTTCCAAGACCCCATATTCTACCTATGCAATGTCAAGGTATACTCCCATTACAAATCAACTCTTTCCATCCTCTGCTCTGCTTTAAACCTGCTCACATTTCATATCTGACAAACTCTTCAAGGCTTTATCGAGCACACATCATATGAATCCAGCAAATCCAACAAATCCCAGCTCCATCCATTCTATATACTCTATATGGTATATGTGCATTTGTAAATGTATTTCCAGCTCTCACATTTCGCTGTTTTGATAACATCTCAGAAATGCAATCTATCAAACCATTTAAAAGTGCTTGTCCTGTGTCCAGTCGGACGGCTTGGATCTAACATACTCGTACTCTGTCAATCTCTCTTTCTGTCTCTCTCTCTCTCTCTCTCTCTCTCTCTCTGTCTCTCTCTCTCTCTCTGTCTCTCACTCTCTCTTTGCACACTCTAAGTCAAATTTATACTCAGTATTTCGCATTCTAATCCCTGATAATGCAGCTGCTTAAGAAAGTTGATTTCATTTACCATTTTACCGTAATTAGTCCAGCTAGTATCAATTGTATTTTCGTTATCCCCATACCCACTTCACATCCACTTGGGTTTATTTTTCTAGAACTTTTCTGTGCTTAATGTGGACTATATTTATTTAAGTCGATGTCACTTTGTTAATTTCTTCTTATTATGATTTGAACAAAATTCAAAAACAAACTTATCAAAATATATGTATTGTTGTATAATTTATGTTGTTTGTCGTATTTCGTATGTATTCTTATATGACTCACAGTTTTCCCCTAAAAACTCGTAATTCGTATTATCCAAAAGAAAACAAAAAATACTACATTAAATTCCTGTCATAATCGTTGTACGTTCGTTTGTTTAATTGTTTAACCCTATTGAGAGTAAGAACTGTATATTCCTATACTATTGGCCTCGTAATGTGTGTATAATATATATATATAATCTGTCTATCTATCTATATATCTTATTGTATATTCAAGTATTTGAGTTCGCAGCAAAATTTTCATTTTTGTCAACGGCAAAAAGTTTCATTGTTTGAATTATTTATTTATGTTTGATTCTTGATTTGAATTTTCTCTTACTTTGAACTCAGTTCGACTTGTGTTTGAGCTCATTAACAAGTGTTTTGTACCTCGAATCAATAAATCACTGGACCTTGTGTGCGCGCGGCTATGCACCTCACAATCTCCATGGCCGTCGCGTTTCGTTTCGTTTCGTTCCGTTCCGTTTCGTTTCGATTCGTTTCCTTTGTGTAAATACTAAAAGTTCAAGTCATTTAATGCGTACGTACGTCTCAGCCATTAAACAACACTACACCAGCTCCTGTGCCAATACCAATATACCAATACCAATAACAATACCAATAACAATACCAATAACCATACCAATACCAATGCTAATACCAATACCTATACCTATACCAATGCCAGACCATAGAACATCCAACATTGTCCATTAACATGTGTAATTCCCCTGGCTGCGACTCATCATCCTAGAGTATCTAACCCATACTATATATATACATATATAAACATTAATAACAGTCAAATTGAATTATACTTATAAAAAGAACAAACAAAATCAATAATAATTATATATAACTAGCAACGTAGTGCAAATCTAGATCAAGCAAAAACCATCCGAAGCCAGCGAAGCAATGCCAACACCGACAGCTGTTCAAAAGCTGAATGCTATGAAACCAATGCAGCGAGCGTTGCGCTTCAAATGTTGTACAGAGATTTTCATACTAGACTCAATTAGAAAGTAGCTTACGCGCTCTCTCCCTATCTCTCTCTCTCTCTCTCTCTCTCTCTCTCTGTCGCTGAATTTGTACAAATGTAGATTAAATAAATAAAATTAGCATATTTCATAACAAATCTCATGCGCGCACTTCAAACTATTCAACATTCAGTTTCCAAATTCAACAAATTCTCCGTCTTCTGTACAACAGAAATACACTGATCCATTTCACTGCTGCTCTCTACTCTATCGCTCTCCCGCTATCTCCCTCTGTCTCTCTCTCTCTCTGTCGCTTTCGATCTATACACCTGTTCATTTGTCTGTCTCTATGCCCCCTCCTTGGCTAACTAGGATCTCTCAATGAACCCCCTGAAGGCTTTACGTATTATTATTATTATTATCTTGAGGAATGCTAAGCGTTTCACTTACATATATATATATATAAATCTCTCTTTCTCTATATATATATACATATATTTTCTATTTATGTTTTCGTTTTTTCGTGTACTTTTTTCTTTTATTTTTTTACAACTTTTTCTCTACTTTGAATGCTCCCAAAACGAAACTTTTGCGCGCTGCTGTCTGGAAAACCGAAAACCAAAAATCAACAATAAAAAACTAATCAAACATGATCAAAATGCATATATTTATAACGAAATCATTTATAACTATTAACAATTTGGCGCTTGCCTAACGCTAAAAAAACAAAAAAAATTATTTTAAAAACAAACAATTTTTTTTTTTTTTACCATTTTTTAACTCAACTTTTACATAATTCCCGCAAAAAAAAAAAAACTCTATGCCCTTAAACCAAACACCAAATCCAAATCTTCTTTCAGCCGCAATATGGTCGCAAGAAAAAACAAAAAGAAGTAAGATTTCCACAGATCTTTTAGTCTCTAAAACACAAACAAAAAATATGAACAAAAAAAACAACGAATAACGTACCTTTACCCCCCCGACCCCCTGCCAAGCACATACACCAAAAAAACCAGAAAAACCGACATTAAAAATCCAAAAACTCAACAATATTTCTAAAAGAAACCCAAAAAAAAGAAACAAAAATGAACCAAACTAAAAACTGAAATTCAAACAAAGCTTTTAATTTGTTTTGCGTTTTATTTGGAACTTTATGCCAAAATTTGTTAATTATTAGCCGCATATTTATGTTTTTTAATGTAATTGCTTTCAAACTTTATTCGTATTCGTTAACCGTCTAAGTATTCGTAATCCTAATCGTAATTGTATTCGTAATATTCGTAACTCGTAATTCGTAATATTGATATGCGTATAAGCTCCCTGTACAAATTAGCTCTTTTTGGTGCAACACTTTGCCAAATACTTAAACTTATCCTAAATATACGTATATACATATGTGTATATAATATATGTGTGTATATGCTATATACTATCTATGTATCTACTACTTTTGCTTATCAAATAACTCACTCAATACTCGTAAATATGTTTTCTGCGTGTGTGTATATGTACTTATCCATCTATATAGATATATTTATATAGCCAAAGCTCAGCTCTTTTTTACATACATATATGTATATATTTTATATGTCTCTCTCTCTCTCTCTCTCTCGCTTTCTCTTTCTCTGTATATATACGTATATATCAACTTCTTTTATCAACGCGCTTACTTTATTTGCCAACGCGCCGCAAATGCAAAATCTTCTTTGAATCGCGTCTGGCAATATTTGTTTGCAGCTCAGTCAGCTCAATGCTTACACTGTGCAACACTGTTTTTTTTTCCACTTTCGATATTTCAATTTTCCGATATATATATATATATATATAAATACCTTATATCATTAGTCAGTGTGCGCTTGCCTGCCTAAGAAATACCCTGACTCCGATGCGTGTCAGCTTCATGTTTGCAGGAATCCTAAATAAAACCATATCTATACATTTGTATACTTTTCTATATGAAAATTTGTATGCCGTCAGCTCTTAAATGGGCAGAGCTTGACTCAAAAAAAAAAAAACTGAGACTTGTTAACGATTCTTACAAGTTCATTGCCTCATTGCAATTGTGACTGAGAAAACCCATATTAATGATATCGAAAATCGATTTCAATATCGATTTATGCTAATTAATGCTCACATATTATGACACGAAATCTGTGTTGCACAGTGCTTTAACTACTTAATCAGAGCCACAAAATTGTGCTCGCTCGTGCTTAAATGGCTTCTTGGCCAACTGATTTCTGATTCCCGACTGCCAGCTGCCCCCCCGCCGGTTGCGTTCCGTCTCCTGCTGGCTTCTGAAGCAGTTTCCCAGCATCGGCTAGTGTCGATTGCCTGAGCTGTGCTAATGCGCTTATAAGCAAAGGACTCAAAGGATTTTCAATCACTAAAGGCATACATAGAAGTTGGCAAAGGAAGCAAGAAGAGCTTTCTCGCTCTTTCTTTTCCTCTCTCTTTTTCTCTCTGTCACTCTCTCTACAGTTTGTATGCCTTTTAAACTTTTACGAATTCGCTTCGAATAATCCTTGTCCAAGTTAAATATACAACAACAACTCGCTAAAAACATATTTATGCCGCTTTCTTTTCTATATACATATATATATATATATATATATATATATATTTTACAATTTACTGTCTATAAGTGTGCGAGAGTGTGTGTGGGTGTGTGTGTGTGTGTGCATTTATACTGATGTATTTATATAGATGAGCTTAGCTCAGGTTTAAGTACAGCTTCAGGTTCAGGTTCAGGTTCAGGTTCAGGTTCAGGTTCAGGTTAACGGTTTCTTTTGACCATACTATGCAGATGTCTGATGATTTATGCGCGCAATTGCCAAATTGTTTTGCTCTATGTGAGTTGAAACAATATTTCGCATTGCCGAGCTAAACAATTAACGGTATAATATGCATATATTATATATATATATAGAGTATTATACCGCATACATCCAGATATACCATACATAAATCATAATATATCATCTGAATGGTGACTCAGCGTGTGCCTGGGCGCAGTGCAGTAAGTGGGTAAATGGTAAATGCTGAAGTAAGTGCTCAAACGTCAATTACAACAACAACAACAACAACAGCAACGACAACAGCAACGACAATAACTACATTAGCAACAGCCTTAACAATAACAACAACAACAACAAATGATATTAATTATAATTGTCGCGAACTTTGGCATTTGAAACGAAGTTAATGCGCAGCTTTTTTTTTGCCTTTTTGTTACCTTACATACATATATAATTTTAATATTGCATACCCTGTAAAGTGAGAGGTTAACTAGAGGGGTATGCTAGGCTAGAATGCCTCAGTATTGCAGTGCTTTCCGTCCGTCTTTCAGATATTTGAGATGGCTCATCCTCAATCTTTTTCAATTAAACTATTCGGTATACCCTGTAATGTGCATTATCTGTCATGCTTGTTGGGATTGGAGAGATGTGTCTTAAATTTTATTAATCAAATATATGTATATTTATATATATGTATGTATATATGCTTTAGCTCTTAAGAGCTCTGACTCTCTGTATACTCTGTAAACTTATGGACAATAAAGGGTATGCCCGTTCAGCATATATTCATCAATAAAAGCCTCTCACTCTCTCTTCTTCGCTCTATTTTGTATACCCTTCAAATATTGGCAATGAGTAAAGGTATCATACTTGAGCAGACCATATATATACCATGTATACCCTGTAAATAGCTGAGAGTGGAGCATCTAAGGCATAGACTTAATCTAAGAGATGCTCAGCAACAGGGTTAATTGCACTACACAGGTATACCCTGTAATTGCCTGTATATTTCCTCAATCTTATACAACAATTTCTGAATAAATTTCAATTTTCAAATGGGGTTTTTTTTAATCACTTTCTGCAGGTCATTAGCCCGATATGAAAGCTGCGCATTAAGTGCGGCAATTAATTAGACAGAAGCTACCCTACTACAGGCAATTTGTGTTGAGTTGATTTTAATTTGTAGCTGCTTGCTTGTTCAACTCTAGTTCTATATATGCATAGATAACTGACTAACTAATTATACCTAGTGCGATGCCTTCTAGCTGGCATTAAGTAGCTAATCAACAATAGAGCTCGACAACTCAACCTCTGTATGTGTGTGTGTGTGTCTCTCTGTGTGTGTGTGTGTGTGTGTGTGTGTGTGTGTGTGTGTGTGTGTGTGTGTGTGTATGTGTGCAGCATTATTGCATTTGCATGTAGCATCTTAGTCTAAGCTATATTTGTAGAAAGCATCAATTTCATTGACTTTGAATCTTTCAATATTTCATACATCTGGCAACGCTGAGGACATGACAGCCCTCTAATGTCAAAGGTAGCGCTCACGCCCTTGTTTGCCTGGCGCAAAGGTTATCAATCTAATGGTTAAATATCTATCACGTCCGTGTAGCTTCCTATGCTCGTTCACATGAGTTCAAAGAGAGTATATTGGTTATTCGATAGTCTCGGTTTTTCTCTTAGTGGTAGAGACTTAATATGCTATTGTCTTCTAAATTCCTCAAATTTTATGGATAAAATGCTCATTGTGGGCATGGAAATGTCTGTCTTACCTATAACACTAGAATTTGTATATGATTGTATTATGTCTCAAGCTGTTCTATATATAGATCCTACATATAGATCAATTTTGAAGTCAAAATGAAGTGTATTGTATACCAAATTTGCCGACTTTTCTAGTGTAAGCGAGTATTGTCGGTGTAATCCCTCAGCGTACGACTGTAAACTGTTTCCGCATAAAATTCAATACAAACTTCTTCTTCGTCCTTCTTCCAACTGTAAATTTTCTTTAAGGAGTCCAAGAAGAATGACATAAGCAAATGATTTGAACTCAGATTTCAATTATTGTTTTCTGTGCGCCAGTTCTAGTTCCAGTTCCAGTTTCAGTTTCAATTCCAGTCGTTGCATGCGTCATAAGTTCTCGCTCTGTGTGTAAGTCAACAGGAATAGACGTATCCGGTTGTAACCGCCATATTGTCAGTGTGTGTGTGTGTGTGAGTGCTTGAGAGTGTGAGCCCTGTAGTGCGGTTTTGCCTTTTATTAGTTTAAATATAGACTTGACTTGGTCTGTTTAAAAAGGCAGCCCGGCCCCTCGACTGCCCCTTGGCCGTCATCGTGACTGCGGCACTCTGGCTATATGGTCATGGCTCCGGCTACGACTTCGGCTCCTGCTTCATCCCTGTGTCCCCATTCGTTGGCGCAATTGCGTCAACACACAAATACAAGTACAAAGACTCACACAGAGACATACACACACACACACACACACACACACACACACAATCTAATTGTCACGCCAAGCAAACAAGCAAACAAACCAACTATTATGGAATTTTTTTTAGCGCTGCTATAGCCACTGTGTGTGTGTGTCTCTCTCTCTCTCTCGCTCTCTCTGTGTGTGTGTGTGTGTGTCTTTATAGAAACTCGAACAATTTCATGACGCTGATGTTCGACTTTTTGCTTTACTTTTGCTTTTGGCATTGCATGTCCATGTCCATATCCATGTCCATGGAAAGTAAAAACTAACTACGAGCACAATACCTAGTTATTTTGTACATCGATACAGCCGCACTCTATCCTATCTGTATGTGTGTGTGTGTGTGTGTGTGTGTGTGTGTGCTTGAGTGAGGGTTTCTTGCAATCGATAGACGTGCCATGGCCCCAGCAATGGGACACAAATATTGTCCCCCATACAATATGCATGACAGGGCAATTAAAGTTGCCCAAAGCATACAAAAATAATCATCGTCATAAGAAATATGAAAAAGCCAAAAAAACTATAAAACAACTAACAACTTTGCTATAATGGGCTGCAATCGACTGCGTGATACACGTTTACAGATATACGAGCTGAGAGTGATACGACAATAAGTTGAGATAAAGCTCCGTACTGATTGAATATATGTAGGTTTTTAGGGAACTACTTCTACAACTCTTCAATAGAAGCGGTAGCGATCCACTTTTCCAGTATATTCTTAATTTTCTATATAGATAACCTATTGGTATATAGATTCTGATTAAAGAACTATCTCAATCTTAGCCTTCTACTAGATCAGAATAACCTATATAGTATATAATTCACCTTAGAACCAATTAGCCACAACCTACTTTACTCATATGATATAGCCTATTGATTCCAGCTGGATTTAGCTATCCAGCTATCTGTATAATCTATCCTCTCTCTACAAAAGAACTGTTCTATATAATGACAGCAAAGTTCTCCTGATCAGTTGTATATCAAGCTTTCACAACTAGTATATAAGTCACCTAGATCTAAACCAATATACTCCCTTCACTTACGCGAGCGAGCATGCGAAAATGAACGAAAAATGATATCTGAACTCAATTCCGAATTGGAATTGTCCAAGTTTTCTGTCTAAATGGCGTGTCCTGTGAGTTGCGAACGGGAATGTGTAAGTGTGTGTGTGTAAGTGAGTGTGTTTGAGTGTGTATATATATATAAATATGTCGTATGTATGAAGAACTCTATACGTAAGCCTTTAGCACGTGCACGATTTGATGACTCTCAACATGCTTTGTACAGAAATTACACAACACTGGTTAAATACAAACACCGTATTGCATGCAAATAATGAACGAATCAAAATCGCTTTCAGTCTATAGTCTACAATATATTTTTTACTTTACTATACCCTATAATTTCCGACTTGTATATAGAAAAGTTCAATCCAGATCTGTTAAATATTAATGAGAGTGATTGGCCCAAGTTCACTTTGGTTATAGCTTTTGCATACTGACCCAGTTCAGAATTCGAATTCTGACTCCAAAACACGAGAAAATTTCAACTCCCATCAATTATCTGATGCCCCCACTAAATGTGCTATGCAAAATGTTAAACCATTACCAAAATTAATAGAACTAAAAACTATTTTTAGAATATTTCAAAATTGAAAATAATATTTTAGTTACTGTGATTGCCTTAACTTTTTTCATTTAAACTAACCTACTAATGTGCCTTACCTACTTACTTACCACTTATGACTTGTTAACATCAATGGACAAACTACAAATATATATACACTATATATATATACATATATATATTAATGTATATATGCATATATATGTATATATGTGATGACAATTAAAATCGATTTTCCTGCTTATGCTAATATTTGTGTGCGCACTTGTTTGTTCTCTGTCTTCATGGAACGCCTGAAACGTCTGAAACGTACCGGAACTATCAGATCCGATATGATGACGAGGACGAGGATGAAGGTCCACAACCGGATCCTACACTTGAACAGGGTGTGCCAATACCTGTTCGATTGCAGGGCAGCTTCCCGCCGGAATTGGCCTCCACTCCTCTCGAGGATATCGATCCATACTACAGCAATGTACTGGTGAGTGATTGTCCCAAAAATCAGAGTTATCGATACGATTGCCGATTGCCAATTGATTGATCTAATCGAACCGTACCTAATTCAATCGCAATCCAAATCCATCCAATTGTTTGTATATCTCGTTTTGCAGACATTCGTAGTTGTAAGCAAGGGAAAAGATATTTTTCGCTTTTCTGCATCAAAAGCAATGTGGCTGCTCGATCCATTCAATCCGATACGTCGTGTGGCCATTTACATTTTAGTGCATCCATTATTTTCGTTATTTATCATTACCACCATTCTCGTGAACTGCATATTGATGATAATGCCGACAACGCCCACGGTCGAGTCCACTGAGTAAGTATTCCCAATTAGAAACTGTAGCCTCTAGCTAGCGCCGCCGCTACACTGCATACATGACATAAGTGTAGTGGTATGTCCGAGAGTACACATACTGCCAGTGCATACATCTATCTATATATACATACTTATCATGTATATTCGTTTAACTCTGGGACTTAATACAATATATATATCTCTCTCTTTATATACATATATATAAATGTATCAATATACAGACACATATTTTGGATAATCCTTAGCTAAATAATTCTTTTGATTTACGTTTCTTAATTTTTTTTATTTCTGTTTAACCTCTTTGCTTTTTCTTTTTCGACTAAGTTGAACTCTATATATATATATATATATATACATATGTATATATATATATATATATATAGATCGATATATTTACGTAATACTACTTATATTCAATTGTAACTTTTTCGATATTGATGCGAACGTGTATTTAGGTCAAACTTAAAATTATTTCAACTTTAATTTATAACCAAGCGAAAAATACAAAAAAAAATGAATAAAAAAATTGAATCGAACAAAACAACAACAAACCAAAGTGATGATAACGATGAACGATAACGATTACACATTGTGTTTTTTTTTTTTTTTCAAAGCGTCCGACAGGTAATGAACATCTAGTAAAGCCCTGGCCCAGGAATTTGTACAAAACCTAAAAGAACTAAACATTTTGTAGTAGTTGCAAGCTCATTGCTATAAAACTCATTCGGCCAGCAGGCGTCGCCGAGTGTCGTACACAGCAGCTTTTGCCAGCCGCGCAAAACCTGTTGAGCCTGCTGGCCAAACTGTATTATATATTCGATTGTACTTACATCACGTACATAATACTACATTCCGTTATCAAAAGAATTAAAAAAAAAAAAACAAATAACATTTTAACTATCGATAAATCGACTACAAAAACTAATTCAAGTTTAGACACATTTCGATGCCTCTCATTTTGTAAATTGCCTTAATCGAAAACGCATTAGTACCTGGGCGCTCTTAACTATCTCTAATCAATTGAATTGTAGTCAACCTAACTAACTAACTAATATTTGTAACTATACTAAATACATATGTAATTCCATACATATTGTAACTGGCCACCTCCAGTCGCCAGAGAGCCAAATGCTTTTGGTTTGTTCACGTTTTCGTACAAAATCAACAGAATTCATCACAATCAAATTCGATAACATTTTTGAATTGAGTTTTTAGTAATATACTTGGACGTAGCCTAGAACGAATATAGCCACAGTATACGTTTATTTCTAAGTAGCTTAAGTACGTAACTAAGTAACGATAACAGCCCTAACCCGTATTATATACAATATATCCTTTTCAATCGATTTAATTGTACCATTTACAAATTTGTTACATATTTTATGAGTATATTAATAGCGACGTAGAATACCAGACTAGTACCATTATCATGCCGTTGAAGTAAATGTCTATTAAAAAGATATATATGTATATAATTACATATATGTACATCGATATTATAGTTACATATACATGTACCATATGTACGTCAATAGCTCATATATATACATATCTCTAAATACTATATAATCTTACATAATTAGTCATAAATCAAAATTTTGTACATTTTTGTTGGCTTTACCAAATACTATTGGGGTTTGACTATATTTCCATGCGCAGTGCCACAGCAACTCAATAAATCAATCGATCCATGTACGATATACGATATACAATATACTGTATAAGCTGCATTATATACGATATACCTTAAACGATAATTAATATGCGATATATCCGATATATATATTGGACAGACGATGTACGATATATACAGATACACAATATGTATATTGTACATACGATATATGGTAATCGATAACGATAAAATATGCTGTAATACATATGTACAATATATGATATACGCTATATGCGAGAGATTATACGATATTCGAGATATAATATACGATATATGAATGTGATTCGCTGCAGGCACTGCTATAAGGAATTGGTTATTAGATATCAATAGTTTATAGTTTGTAATTCTTAGTATCTATAACATACATATATACGTAGCTCTAGTCTGCCAAAATCTGGTATAGCTTATACATACATATATATAACTCTTAGATATATCGCTCTAGAACTTCTCGTATTCCCACCCTTAGACTCGCTCTCTCTCATCATTATTGTAAAGTGCTGATAAATCAAATTCGATTCACATAGATGTGAATCAGAGTACAACTATACACATACACATACATATATAAGCGTGCATATATTTAGATATATATGTATATAGGTAGAAGAGCAGATCACTGTACGAAGTACATGTATTTTCTTTAGCCGTAACTGTACATAGCTCGTGTACCTGTAATATCGTAAAGTAGCTGAACGAAAAACGTAACAAAAAATATGAAGAACGAGCAAAATGCTTAAGCAAAATGCAGAAAAGAACGCAAGAAGCGTTCGAAGAAGCAACAAAAGTGAAAAGAGTTACGTCATTTTTTTAGCTGATATCAAAGAATTTGTCGCAGATTTGGTATCAGAATCGAGCACCCTAACAAATAGACGTGCATACGCACGTGTTTCTGTGTGTGCGTGTGTGCGTGTGTGTGAGTGTATGTGTGCGTACTCATGTATAGGAGCCCCACTTGAACTTGCAATGGCAACCCAAAACACGCCTCCGCGCCCAACTCCAGTTCCGTCCACAGCTCCGGTTCTCCGACTTCCCATCTTCGTCTCCATCTTCAGTTGCCGCCTCGTTTTGGGCCAAGTTCTCTGGGCCGCAATCGACGACGGCGGCTGCGCTCAGGACCCCCAAAAAAAAAAGTGCACAGCTGCTGTCGCATAACTTGAGACACGCAACACCAAGCCCAGCACCTACACACATGCAGTGAGTGAGTGAGAGAAAGAGATGGAAAGCTGGTAAAAGTGGGTGACTGAGAGATAGGCAGACAGATAGATAGACAGATACCGAGAGCAAGAGAGAGTGAGAGTGAGAGAGAGAGAGCGCGTTTAAACTTTTGCCAGAGCGCCTATCTAAGCAGTTGGCAGCCGCATCTATCTATGTGGGTCGACCGCTCTGGGCCGCAGCTGCCGCTGTAGCTGTGGGCGCACTTGTGGGCGCCCAGAAAGACATAATACCTGCAATTAAAACGCAACTCAAGTGTCCTTCGCAGGCATTGGGGCCTAGGTCAAACGCAACGCTCAACGCTCAGCAGGGCCCACAGCCAGCGACTTTGAACTAGTTGCAGCTACGCCTGGCCAGCCCAGTCTGGCTGTTAGGCAGTCGGGCAGCTGGTCTCGCCTGACTGTCTCTTTGTCTGACTGACTGTTTGTTCGCCAGTCGATTTAAATCTGTCAAATGACTAACCAAAGACACAGAGCACACACACACACACACACACACACACACACACACACACACACAGAGATATCGCTGCCTTAGCTGGAATTCAGGCCGAAGGTCGGCTTATTGATCTAAACGCCTACATCAGAGAACAGCAGTGCCACCAGTGCAGTGGCAGCAACGAGCACCAGCTGCTGCTCACCATCATCATCATCATCATCATCATCAAGCACTTATTAACAATTATTGACATTGACAATTGGCACAAGTCGACGAGACGTGGAACAACTGTCTGTCTATCTGAAGCATCTCAAGTGCTTGTTATTAACAATTGTGCATGATGGGCTTTGATCTGGCCAAAGCTGCTGCCGTTAAGGCATCGCCTCTTGGCCATGTGCGCATTCGTGCACTTTCCAACACTGTTCGCTCCACTTGCATTGAACTAGTTTAAGCGTGGTCTTTAAGGATGGCAGTAAATAAGTGATTAAGCGCAGGGTTAAGCTAGCAACTAAGTTCTATACGTAAGCATAAATAAGGCTAGGATCTAACTATCCAGAGTTTAGCAATATTTTGGTATTCTAAGGCATCAGCTATACGAATAGTGCAGCTACGATTAATTTACAATTTTTCATTTACTATTCAATTTGTATTTTTTAAGTTCGTTTTTACTTATATTTGCAATGCCCTTGCAGAGGAATTGCGATAGCTAAAGTCTATTTGTTGCAAGGCTATCGATTAATTATCGATTTTAATCGACATGTGAAATGTGTGTGTAAGAAATGTAATGAATTTACATGAAAATAATTTAGAATTCCAGTAAATAAAGAATGATTTCATCGATTGTATGTATATCGATGTCAAATACTTTGCAAGGGCATGTCATCGAACGGCTAGCCGTTTATCGATTTATGACCGAGAGAATCCGAACTAATCAGGCAGCAAGTGCACTTAAGCTACTCGCACTTTACGATAAACAATACCAAACGAAGGATATGATGAGAAGAAGAAGAATAAGAAAATTACAAAAGCGAGAGAAAAAAAAAAGAAACAAAAACAAATTGCATTCGAAATTCAATTCGTTTTTAGGGTGATATTCACCGGAATCTACACATTTGAATCAGCTGTTAAAGTGATGGCACGAGGTTTCATTTTATGCCCGTTTACGTATCTTAGAGATGCATGGAATTGGCTGGACTTCGTAGTAATAGCTTTAGCGTGAGTTATATTATTATTATATCAAACTATATATACAAATATTAATCGATTTACTAACTCATCAACGTCAACTCAACGTCAGTATATAACCAGACATCTCTCACAGCTCTCATTAATCATCCTCTATATATACATACAACTACATCATGCTCCTTCTACTCGTATGTGTACTATAACTATCGCCTTATTTATTTTTTTTTTCTTGTTTTGTTCTCTTCTTGTTTTTGTTTACGTTCTTCGAATCACGTATCGTATTGTATCTTGTATCGTAATCGCCTCTTATTCTATAACATTAACTGTTAAACACGCCACATTAACTGATTTTCCCATTTCAGTTCATTTTTCGTTTCTGTTTTAGCCATTTTAATTAATACAAAATGTAGTTAATACATATCGTATGTTAATTAACTAGCAGCCCATAAAGACAGTAACGAAAAAATATATGTATATCTGTTTAAAAAAATCATGAAAAACCCATTTATATGAAAGCAGAGAAATTTTCGTTTTATTTTCTGTTTTTTTTTTTTTATATATTTATTTTGTTTCAATTATGCAAATTAGACAAAATGAAATGAGCGAAAATTGAATAAATGCAAAACAGTATTGAAATGCAAATTTCAACTGTGTGTGTGTGTGTGTGTGTGTGTGTGAGTGTGTGTGTTGTCATTACTTGCTTATATTGTTGTTATATACATTTGTTTTTCATTGGGAAATATGAAAGCGTTTCGTCTAACCAAAAACGAGCGCATTGCATTTTAATTTTTATACACACACACACACACAGTTACATGAGAGTAACAGGACAAAATGTCACGACAACAACAACAACAGCAAGCGGAGCAACCACAACATTAACAATAATAACACGTATGGGCAAAAGGTAGCTTAGCTAAAATTACACATACGCCATGTGAGCTGCGGGGCAGCTAAAAGTCGCGTTAGTTGAGAGCGTTTTTATTGATTTCTTTTGTGCCGTTACTAATGACGTGCCCAACACACACACAGATTGCCTATGATTATTTCCCATACCAACAAATACCAAGGCAGGGTCATAAACAAATTTTTTTGGCTTTTTTTTTTTTCTTGTGCTCATTCTTTTTGTTTATTTGGTTCTGCAAGATATTATTATTATTTTTTCTTTTTTTTTTTTTGGCATTTTGTTGTTGTTCATTTTGGTTTTCGTTTTCGTTTCGTGACAGTTTCGTTTCATTGCTTTTTGCTCCAATTTAACCATTTATTGGGCGCCCTTTGTCTGGGTAGCGACAGGTTTTTTTTTGTTTTTTTTTTTGGCCCGCATTACTTGGCCCGAGCTGCAGGCTTTTGGCCCTCGCTGGGGTGGGGGTGGGGGGCAGCTCGAGGTTACTGTAACGTGGCTGGGCTATTCGTGCAGCGCATTTCGCTGGCGCCGCATAGACGCGCAGCCTTGGACAAGCCATACAGCCCAACCCACTCCCTTTACCCACACACACACACACACACACACACACACACAGCTCACACACAGCTCACATGGCATTCCCCAGTTTGTGGCACAAAAAGTTTAAAGCGCGACTAAAAACACTAAATTGAAGCCAAAATGAATAGAATAAAGAATGTGGCTGGAGCATATGAAGCTCTGCTTATGGCTGAGCGAGCACACACATAAATAATTATATATACTATATGATATATGTATGTATGAGCATACATATATATTGCCGGGTAAACAGTTTAGAGGCCAGCCCAATTAGATGGCCAATTTACACGCAATGCGAGCATGTACTTGCCGAGGGAGGGGGAGAGAGGATGGCAGAGAGAGAGAGAGAGAGAGAGACTTACCTTATATACACACGTGTTCTGTCTCACTCTCTCTCTCTCTCTCTCTCTCTGTGTGTGTGTGTGTGCATTTAACTGTATTTATATGCGTCCAAATCGATAAATATTCATGAAAAATAAATGTTAGGTTTGCCTGGCTGCAGAAGTAACGTGAAATTCCCAAAGGATGACAGCATACAGCACGACAAGGCAAACAACTCAAGCAAATGGACATTACCAGGCCACACCAAAACCCCTTCCTCTCCCACTGTCCACTGTCTCTCTCCCTCACTCTGTGTGTGTGTGCCAGCTATTTCCATGGTACGCTTGTGTGCGTGCATAAATATTTTTATAGCAACACACACACACACACACGCTCATGTAAAAACAATTGATGTGACAGCAGCAATGGCAGGTGTAGCAGCTGCTGCACCTGCCTCAGGTGTGACTTGAACTTGGCTCTCCGCAGCCTGTGGCCCATTTTCGTAATGAATCATTAAGCTGAGAAGGCGAGGGGCCCACTAGCTGGCCAAATTCATTTTCACTTTTCATGTGTCTCAGCTACACACAAACACACACACACACTTACACACACACACACACACACACACACACACACACACACACACACAGGCTTTAACTTTTTCACATCCAATCAAATTAATTCATTTATAAGTCAAAATCTATTTTATTTGATTTATTTTGCTGCTCTATTTAACAAGAATACAAACATAAATTCTACTACATACGCACACACATATGCACACGCACACATACATACATACATACATACATGAAGCAAGCTTCTGTAAATCTAATAAAACGAATGAAACAACAACAAATCTCTACATTTGTAATTACTAACGACTGCAAACATAATCTCGTACCAAAGCTCTATTTTTACATACTTAGATCGATAGCATTATATATATTAAATATTGCTTACCGATTTTATACATATATCTGTATAATTATCAAATACTTAATGACATTTCATGTGTATGTATATTTGCTTTTGTCATCGTTAATAACATTAACAACAACAACAACAACAACAACAATTGCTGACTACCACAACAACAACAAATGACCTTTAATCTTGGATCGCGCACAGTTATGTGACCATGGGTATAGATTTAGGTAATCTAGCAGCCTTGCGAACGTTTAGGGTGCTGCGTGCGCTAAAAACCGTAGCCATTGTTCCAGGTATGATTTTGAAAAAAAAAAGAAAATAAAATAAAAATCTGTTATACAGCTTAACAAACTGTTATACAAGCTGTTATACGAACTGTTATACAAACTGTTATACTGTACCGTTTATAAAATCACGATAATCTGCACATAATATATAAATAACCCCCGTTTATAGGCCTGAAAACCATCGTCGGAGCGGTCATTGAGTCTGTGAAAAATCTGCGCGATGTGATAATATTGACAATGTTCTCCCTTTCGGTGTTCGCACTGATGGGCCTCCAAATCTACATGGGCGTGCTGACACAGAAATGCATTAAGAAATTCCCGCTTGATGGTTCCTGGGGCAACTTGACCGATGAGAATTGGGATTATCATAATCGCAATATTTCCAATTGGTATTCGGAGGACGATGGCATATCGTTTCCGCTATGTGGCAATATCTCTGGCGCCGGGTGAGTAGATCGCAATAGATGTTGTTGCACCATCCCTCCCCCCCCCCCATTTCCCATATTTGTATCGATATTGATGATCGTATGGTATCGATTGATTGCAGTCAATGCGATGACGATTACGTGTGTCTCCAGGGGTTTGGACCGAATCCCAACTATGGTTATACCAGTTTCGATTCATTCGGTTGGGCATTTCTATCCGCCTTCCGTCTGATGACGCAAGACTTTTGGGAGGACCTGTACCAGCTGGTGCTACGCGCCGCTGGACCCTGGCACATGCTGTTCTTTATAGTCATCATCTTCCTAGGTTCATTCTATCTTGTGAATTTGATTTTGGCCATTGTTGCCATGTCATATGACGAATTGCAAAAGAAGGCCGAAGAAGAGGAGGCTGCCGAAGAGGAGGCGATACGTGTAAGTAGAAGGCCCAGTAGAGACCCAAACGCCCAATGGACTAACAACCACCACTACCATAAGCCACTTGAAATGAACGGTAGATAATTTCAATCTCAATTGCCCAAGCGCCTAATTGATCATTGAAAATATCTACCCAATACAACAGAGTTGCTTTTTTCTTTTGTATATGTATGTATTACCGACAAACTACAAAGCTACGAACTATATATATTTATATGTATATTATTAACACTGTTTTCAATCTCAATCTCAATCTAAATCTCTATCTAAATCTCAGTTACAATTTCTATCGATCGTACATTATTGTCAGAGTAGTTGATGATCTAGTACATCTTCCTCTCTATATATATCTATGTATGTAGCACACACACGATTCAATTGTGTAGAGCTGTAAAGAACACCTATCCACCAAATTGCATATATAATATATATGTATACCTATATATATTCTCTGTATAACTAACTCAGCTATCTATCTATCAACACATACTTATACGTATGCATATTGCTTACCGATTTCCAGTAAATTTCAAACTATATATATACATATATATCCAATATATATATTCAAAATTATGATTTTAGTTTTATTTCAATTTTAGTGTCTATCGTGTAAAGCAAGTAAACTATTTGTCATGCCAAAGATCTGGCATTAAAACTAGTATCTGTAAATTTTCTTAACCAATCTAAATAATATATATAGATGTATCTAAACACACTTCATATACTATATATCATTTAAGTGCACAATTTATGAGTTCTTTTGAGTTTTTAAAAGTAAAAAGCAATAAACAAAAGAAAAAATCAAATACAAATAGACTTGTATCGAAAGAATCAGACCTAGCCCCAGTCCCCAATCCCAGTCCACTTGAAATACTCATCCCGATCCCAGCACCGCACTTGAAATTCTTATAGTTTTAACCTCTACATATGATTGTATATACCTTGAATGTAGAGCTTTGCCTTTTGTTCTTAAATCACCGAAATCCAACTAAATCTTCCCCCAGTCCCATTGCATGTAATCTCTCTTTGTCTCTGTCTCACTCTCTCTCTCTCTCTCTCTAAATATGTATATATAAATGCCCTATGCCATGTGCGACGCCGTGCCGTTATTAACTCGCGCCCATTTCCAGATCAGCAAACAATTTTCTCTGTGCATATATATCATTATAGGAGGCAGAAGAGGCGGCCGCTGCGAAGGCCGCTAAGTTGGAGGAGCGAGCCAATGCGCAGGCGCAAGCCGCCGCAGATGCAGCCGCCGCCGAAGAGGCGGCCCTGCATCCCGAAATGGCCAAGAGTCCAACGTATTCGTGTATCAGCTATGAGCTATTCGTGGGCGGTGAGAAGGGCAACGACGACAACAACAAGGAGAAGATGTCCATACGCAGCGTCGAAGTGGAGTCGGAGTCGGTGAGCGTTATACAAAGACAACCAGCACCTACCACAGCACACCAAGCTACCAAAGTTCGTAAAGTGAGCACGGTAAGTATTCCGAGCGCATTAATATGTTCCTTTTCTTTCGTTTTTATATCGTTTCGATTTACCTTTCTTATTATTTTCATTTATTTTTGGTTCTTTTGTCATTCTGTGATCGTTTCTTGGCCTTGTTGAATTGTGGTTTATCTTTTGCTTTGACTCTTATTGGGATATATACTTATATACTAACTGTACTCTATATAAATATATACTAAACGAACTTGTGTTTGGTTTCAATGTCAATTTCGATTACAATTTCGATTACGATGCAGCTAAATGGCCGGTCAATAAATATTATATCGTTTATTAGTTGCAATCAGTGTGGTATGAGTGATTTCTTTCTTTAAGCATTTGCGTTCCTTTCTCCTTTGTTTGCCATACTGATATTTCGTCTGTTATCGTTTATCGTTGATCATTGATCGTTGATCGTTGATCGCTGATCGCTGATCGCTGATCGCATTTTGATTGCCTTCATTCATTGTCCATGAATGCAACGAGCTCAACTTCAACTCGTCTTCACTCGTTGCTCGATGCGAACTCTCGCTGAGAGAGTTTTGGCTCTCGCTCAGATTGCTTACTGTCCATTCGGCGTTTCTAATTACATATTATTAAATTTTCCTGCTGCTGTTGTTGTTGCTCTTTATTTTCATTTGTATATTATATATTATAGCCATCATATCTAGCCAATATCGATACCTATTTGCCTTTAATCTAACGAGTAGTGCTAGTGCGTGTGTAGCTCTCTATCTCTCTCTCTCTCTATATATAAATAGATTTAGTGTCATGTATAAATAAATAACTAGATATACATATATATGCATATATATATATATTTATTATATAGTTAATATAGAGTCAGAGAATTTGTAGTCTCGCTCTACCCATCCATCTCTCTCTCTCTCTCTTTCTCTCTTCCTATATGTATGTATGTATATATACATATATACCGCTCTCTCTCTCTCTCTCTCTCTGTCTCTTTCTTTGAAACTGCCTTTCACTATTTAAGCCAATAATTTGATTGTATTAGTGCATGATATTTGTCTATGTGTGCGTGTTGTATCTTTCAGCTTCTAAGCGTGTGCGTGTGCGTGTGTGTGTGAGTGCGTGAGTGTGTCTATATGCGTGAGTATGCAGACAGTCTTTTCTGAAATTTGTATTTCGTTTATGCTCGTAGCTTCTAGCTGGCTCTTATAATTGGCATTCGCATACGAAAAATGTTGATTTTTGGATTTTGATTTTGATTTTGTGATCTCAAGAACTTATTTAATGGGTATCTGTTTGGATTTGTAAACGATATTTTCAGTTCAGGTTTTCAGTTGACTCATTGCTCGGAATGCTTTAGGTGAAAACTTTTCGGTTGTACGTGATTGGAGCTCAAATACAACAACAACAACAACAACAACAACAACAACCATTTTTATTAAATCTATCAATTCAAAATACGAACACAAATTCAACGATGCTTAATCTCATTACAATGCAAGCAATATTTTTAACGAGGACGACTACCCAATGCCAATCAATGAAACTTGAAAATCGCATATATACAATAGACGCCGCTTCAATCGAAGTGCAACAATGACATGCTTTGAGTCATTTTCACACCTCTCAGCTCACAATCAGTCGAAAATTTGTGCTTGAACTCTGCGTATCTATCAAATCTAATCTAATCTAATCTATCTAAGCTAACTAACTAACCCATCTAAGTAACTTGCATAGGACAGCTTGGGCTTTTCATAACTCTGCAATTCTCAGAATCAAAGATCTTTCATCATTTTCGTATTATTTATCACATAATTGATTGATTTGATTCGATTGATTTCCATCTGTCTTATGGCTGCCTTTTCATTTGCATGCATTCAGTGAACGTTGCTTTGATTTCAATTCAATTACTTGCGATTACTTTAAATGGCTGAAAGAAGTTCGAACACGAAAGAAAACCGAAATACTTAAGTTCAATTTAAGCAAAGAGATGCTCTCAAGTACAGTACGGCACAAAGGTTACACTAGCACCGATAAATTCGATAACTATAAACGAAGCGATAACACCAACATGCTGCAGCATGTCTATATATAGTTCTGGATTCTTTTACTCCCACATAGTTATGCTATATACATATGTACATATATGTATGTATATATATTCTCGATAATTTTAGTTGGCTTTGGCAAGCATTTGCTTAGCGCACAGCGGCTGAGACACACCGAAACTTCCAACTCTGGCACTCCGAACTTGGGGAAATCAGTTGAGGACTCTACACAAATACACACGCATCACACAAGATAACACCAATAAATTCTATGTATAAAGTAGACCTCTCTGACTGACTGACTGATTGATTGCTGACCAAAGCTTAGCTTATTTGTAAATCAAGAAACATTGGAAATCCACTTAATGGAATCCCAGGTAGTACGGGTCAAAAAATGGTGCTCAAAGCATAGCAAAAATTTTATTCGAACTTTGTACTCTCTCACCAACAAATATTGTTATTGCTGTCTCGCTCTTGCATTTGCTAGCTCGCTCTTAAATGCCAATTGAATTGCTCAGCGATTGCATTCCAATAAAAAACTTATAATACTCATAATCGTAATCGCAGTCACAGTTGGTCACAATAAAACGGTCCCAACAATAATGGGCCAAAGGTAGGTTTCTCTCTCTCTAAGCCTCTCACTCACACTCTCTAACTCTAATGCTCTCTCTAATAAACCAAACTCTTCTACACACTTCAAGCAGACACTGAAATCGATAGATTAACTGAAACAGTTCCAGTTCCAGTTCCAGATCCAAAAAGCCCAACAGGAGTTAGAAATGCTAAGAATCAGATTTTAGAACTGAAGGACAATATTAGTTTTTTTTGTATTAAAAATAATTTTTTTTTTTTTAAATACAAGATGTTATTTCAATTCCCAGGTGCCCTAAATACGTCTTCAAGTATTTTATTATTGCTCCAAAATCATGAAACATAAATAAATTGTTTCTGGATTGCTAAATTTATATCAAATTATATAGAATTGACTGAAAAAAAACACGTCTCAAATGACTTTCGGCAGCTGGCGATTTATAAACTTGACGTAATTTTCATATTTGAAATTTTTTGTTGTGGTATTTCGTATTTGTTTTTTCTTAGAGCAACTGTACAATGCATCCCCGTAGGTCTTAATCTAGATGCGCAGTTTGTCTAGAGATTTTCAACTTAAAACTGTAGAAATTAGAATTCATTTTAAATATTTTAATATATATATTTTGTTTTGAACTGTTCAACTATGATTCATAGAACTTTGTCATTTTTAGACGAAACGTCTTAAGTTGATTTGAAAATCTGAAAAATTATATTTAAGCCAAACGCTGCGCTGAAGTAGAACAATAAAGAAACATCCTCTAATCGCCGACTCACATCGCACACACAGAGAAATGTTTAACAATTTGCAGCTGAATTTAAATTATGTTATTTTTGTTATTATTTCCTTTACGTGTCAGGATCATTATATAAATATATATATTATCTCATACACAGCAATGTCAAAGTACTTCCGAGTATCTGAACACAATCAACTTTTGCTTTCCAAATGAAACAAACTGAAACAGCGTCAGCAAATTGTATAAATATCAAATCTTAGCAGATATAACTATATTTACATACATCTCTATAAATATATATATATAAATTTTATTTGATTCCATTTTTCTTTTTCTTCTATTTATATTTTATTTGTAAAAATAAAAAAAAAAAAATACAACAACTTAGACATCCTTATCCTTACCTGGTTCACCGTTTAACATACGCAGGGGATCACGTAGTTCTCACAAGGTAAGCGCCCAATACACACACACACACACACACACACACACACACACACACACACACACACACA